TACTTTTGCGATGGGAGGATTATTCTCAACGCGCGTTTTTGTATTTTTTCAATATCGTCACATAAATATTGTTGGATATTGTAATGCCAGACCTGGCATGCGTACTCTAAAACAGGCCTAATAATGGTAGTATATACAGTAATTAACGTGTCAATACACGCGTTGGACCTTTTTAGCAGTCTTAGCATATAGAGCCTCTTGCTAGCTTTTTTAACTATGTTATTTATATGTTCATTCCACTTCATGTTATCTTGGACTGTGAGGCCAAGGATACGGGCAGATTTCTCTCGTTCAATATTAACTTTATCGACTGTTAAAAGGGGAAAGCAATGCTTCTTTTTTGCAAAATCAATAACCAGTTCTTTGCATTTTCCGATGTTTAATTTCATATTATTACTCGTAGTCCAATTATTGATGTAATTAACCAGTTCTTGAAGGTTGCTGTTACAATCTGGGCCAATGGTTTCGGTAGTGGTGGTGTCGTCAACGTATTTCCATCGGTCTTTCAAATCAGCGAGGAGATCGTTTATCATGATTAGGAAGAGGATTGGGCCTAAAACAGTTCCCTGGGGTACTCCACCGTTGAGGATTTGCCATTCTGACACACAATGGGGCATTCTGACCCGTTGGCTTCGTTGAGTAAGAAAACTTCTTATCCAGTTTGTTATTAATGATGGAACGTCCATATCAGATAATTTACTGAGGAGGATGTTATGATCGATATGGTCAAAAGCTTTGGAGAAGTCTAATAAAAAAATTCTCACAGCGTTTTTCGGCACATCAGTTTCGTTTAATAAGTGATGGAGAAGGCTCAATAATGCATGTGTTGTTGAAGAGTTTTTTAGAGATCCAAATTGCCGTTTATCGATCTTCTCACCAATCAACTCCATCAGCCAGTCTGCGACAAAACGTTCACACGTTTTTGACAAAGTGGCCATGGCAGTAAGCGAGATGGGACGCAAGTCTTTAGTAATGTCCCTCAGCACCTTATTTTTAGGTACAGGGATGACGTCGGCTTTTTTTCATACCCCGGGAACAGACGCCTGTTGAAGGGAGGCGTTGAAGATTGAAGTAACAGGGGAAGACAGCAGGGGCGCATAATCTTTTAGGACCCAATTCGGTATTTCATCTGGACCAGCTGCTTTCGAGGATGATATTGAAGATAATTTATAATAAATGTCTTCTTCGCTAATAATGTACTCGGTTGGAATTGTAGTACAATCGCTTTGTAATTGGCTATCGGGGAAAGGGATAGGACTAAGGGGAGGAATATCTCGAGTAACGGATACGAAAGCCTCGTTAATTTTTTCAGCAAGTTGCTTTCCAGAGACGACTTGCTCTCCTAGGACAATACTTGAAAAAGATTTCTTCTTAGGGTAGCCAGCTATTGTAATGTAAACAAATGCTAATTGTTTATATTTTGAACTCAATGCTACATGCAGTTGTAAAATATGTTCGCTATGCTTGTAAATGAATACAGACTAGAGATTCAATTCAAGAAAGTTCAGAAGGTGCAAAATATTAATAACATTCCAATGGTCGGGTCCCAACCATTGGAATACAGCATCTTTTATAAAGACTGATTATAAAACAAATTCTGCATACTATCATTCTATAGGTGCATCTTTTGAAAATCCAAGATATAGATCAAACTCAAGACAAAATTTTATTTGGTTATATTTCGATACTTAGGCCATATAAAATAAATTCCTTGATTCTCATCGCTAAATTTTAAAAACTCCCAGGAGGCGGGAGGTTTATATTTTATATTTTATGTCAAAATATAAAAAAAGTTTAAAATTTAAAAAATTGGAGAGGGAGGTCTTTTTATATTTGCCCTTAAATATATTATAGAAGAACGCTATATAAGTGGATAATTGCACATGTGCTAATGAACATGCATAAGGGTCCACACAAATCGTTGTAATAAGGCTATAAGCCCATTTTTCCTTCAGTATTCCAAGCATCCCTTAACATGTTGCAATATTAACGATAAAACAATTTTATATCGCAAAAATTCCAATATAAAATATAAAAATAACTAAATCTCTGAAGATGCTCGGTCGGGCGGTAAATTTATATTTTATAACAAAATACAAAAATATATCAACGGGGAAACCAAAATATCATTGAAATAAACTTTCTGATTGATGTCATTATATTATGATGTCATCTAAAGTCCCAGAATGATGTCATCAATTTGAATGTGCACGGTGCCATGAAAAAACACATTGTAAACAATATTCAATTTACAATAACCAACTTCTTTTAGCCAATGTACTGTATGGACTAATATATGTCAAAATAGAAATAAATACAAAGATATAAGAAGATTTTTTTGCCAAAAAAATAAATTTTCTTACATATGATACGGTATAAAAGATTTGCCAACCCTGAATATATTATTAAAATATGATTGTTACACAAATGGCCTTTTCATATGGAACACTAAGGGAGATCTCATTGTGTGATTGTGTCTATAGTAGAAATTATAGATGCACGGTCGCTGTTATCCGGCTTGCTTGCTGCACTGCTTCAGTCTGCAGCTATAGATATTGAATTGTTGATAGAAACTAAAGATATCTAGATCATTCCGGTAAAAGGGACAAATTTTTCATATATTGCAACTCACTTAATTGCAGCCTTTGAAGTGCTATCTCGAAGGAGACCTTAATGACTTTATTTACAAAACAATAAGAACATCAGTTATAACATCACGCTACATAATAAAATACACACGTGTATTCACACAAATATTACTACCTTGCTATATTAATCTTCGTGTCCTATCTTTCAAGAGCGTAAGAGAAAAATATTACTCCCAGCAATTCCCAGCTGCTTCTTGAAAGTTGAAACCCGTTGGAAAGGGTTACAACCTCGATATGTAAAAACCTCGGATACAATCAGAGAGAGCTGTCACCCTGTTGCATTTTTGTGTAGCATGTGTTTGTTTGGTGCTTCCACTTTTCAAAAACATTCTCTTTTTGCAGTAATTAAAATTCTCGATCGAGTCATTCGACAGGCGACATTGCCTTGAAATTGCGACATATACAGGGCGCAGGAAGCATCAAAAAGTGGGGGGCACCGGTTTCGAGGGGCACTTTTTGAATGAAAAGGGCACCTAAAAAATTTTTCTCGGAAATGTTGGCGACGGAGGAGGGGGAGGGGGGGGGGCAGGTTAGGGAAGGAAAAATAAATGCAATCACAAATCAAAGGCCGAATGAAAGTGACAGAAAGAATTAAAGCAGTTTGCAGTTGTTTTTGCAAACGAGCACATTCAAATTTTGCCATGTGTCGTGCTCCAGCCCAATTTCTGGTTCTGAAAGGCCCGATTCGCGGCAAAAGAGTGCGCTTGCAGCAGGCTGGTCATTTCTCATTGTTTAACTGCCCCACCTTCAAGTAACCACAAAGACTCACAGATGTTGCTTTGCAACATCCGTGAGTCAAAAATGCAATCTGAACAACATTTTTCACGAAGGCGAAGGGCACTTTGCCACCGGAAAAAGGGCACTTTTTGCGTTTTTTCACTTTTTTGAGAACTTGGGGGGGGGGGGG